TGCTTGAAGGTATAAACGCTCGCGGCAGCCTTGAACGTGGCTCGGCCGTTGCGTTCGAAAACTCAGTGAACACAAACGCCATGGATGAAGAACATTCTCTCTCTTTGTTACTCACCCTGACAGATTCGAAAAGGAAATTGGCCGCTTTGGAAACTACTGGTCGGGGAATATTTCACGATGGATGAGGAATACTCGCTAAAAATCCTTTTATACCTGAGACCGTTGTTGGGACGCAGGCCAAATGCCGGGCCTCATGCGATGGCAAATAGACGAGATTCCATGTAAATGGGACAGCCACAGAGTTGAATATTATTTTCAAGAATTTTCATCAGTCTGTCAAATTTCTTTTTATCGATTCGAGGAATACATGGGACGATTATTCCCTCGGTTACATTTCGAGACATTGCGATTACTCATTCAAAATATTCAGGTGAATTTTGTGAACGGCGTAGTGAAATTAATTTTTGTGTTATGAGTTTCATTTCAGACACTGAGTTTTATTCGGATTTATTCTATTAATTTTCTGAAAATTAAATTTTTGTCGAAATTTTGGTAATTAATCATGAAATAGTGCATTTATTTCTATTCTCCCATGAACCTTCTTTATTTAATTAAATGCATCTACAAATTCCTTTTCATCGATTAAAAGAATACGATAGGATCATTATTTTCTTAATTACATTTCGAGACATTATGATTACCCATTCAAAATATTAACGTGAATTTTCTCAATGTCGTAATGTAATTCATTTTTGTGTTGTGGATTCTATTTTAGTCATTGGGATTAGTTTATGTTGCGGTCTAATTCAATTTGTATTTATTGTGTTAATTTGTTGGAGATTAAATTTCAGTCAGAATGTTGCGATTTAGGCATGACGTAGAGTATTTATTTCCATTCTCCAATGAACCTTCTTTATTAAATTAAATGCATTTGTAATTTTTTTTTCATAGATTAGAAGAATACGATAGGATCATTATTTTCTTAATTACATTTCGAGACATTATGATTACCCATTCAAAATATTCACGTGAATTTTCTCAATATCGTAATGTAATTAATTTTTGTGTTTTGGATTCCATTTTAGTCATTGGGATTAGTTTATGTTGCGGTCTAATTCAATTTGTATTTATTGCGGTAATTTGTTGGAGATTAAATTTCAGTCAGAATGTTGCGATTTAAGCATGACGTAGAGTATTTATTTCCATTCTCCAATGAACCTTCTTTATTTAATTAAATGCATTTGTAATTTTTTTTTCATAGATTAGAAGAATACGATAGGATCATTATTTTCTTAATTACATTTCGAGACATTACGATTACCCATTCAAAATATTAACGTGAATTTTCTCAATGTCGTAATGTAATTAATTTTTGTGTTGTGGATTCTATTTTAGTCATTGGGATTAGTTTATGTTGCGGTCTAATTCAATTTGTATTTATTGCGGTAATTTGTTGGAGATTAAATTTCAGTCAGAATGTTGCGATTTAAGCATGACGTAGAGTATTTATTTTTATTCTTCATTCACCCTTCTTTATTTATTTAAATGCATCTATAAACTCTTTTTCATCGATTAAAAGAATACGATAGGATCATTATTTTCTTAATTACATTTCGAGACATTACGATTACCCATTCAAAATATTAACGTGAATTTTCTCTTTCTATTTTAGTCATTGGGATTAGTTTATGTTGCGGTCTAATTCAATTTGTATTTATTGCGGTAATTTATTGGAGATTAAATTTCAGTCAGAATTTTGTGATTTAAGCATGGAGTAATGTACTCATTTTTATTCTTCATCCACCCATTTGTACTCAGTTGAATCCATCTGTCCATGAAACCGACATGAATTTTCTTAATGCTGGAGTTTCGTAAAGAACGGACTGGTTTTTTAACACTTATTGAAGCGAGTAGTTCCAGTCAATCGGTCGGCCAGCCGCTCGACCGAGCGTCGACTCGCATGTAATGAACATTTACACACATGCATCCACTGAGAGAAAAATGGACGTAATATGACAAGAATAATTTCTTGAGTGGAGAACATCGCGTAGAATTAGTAATTGCACTATTAGAAAAAAAAAATGAAATTACGTGAACAGTTGACGACTAAAAAATCATGGAAAAAAATCATGAAATGTCAGGTTTCACTGAAAATTCAGTAAAATTCCAGAATTTTAAGCAGCTTTAAGAAGAGAATTCATTGATTTATCCGAATTTCCGCTCTAATACGAATATTCAATGCTAAATTACATTGAATTTTCAGTGAAATCTGAAATTTAATTATTTTTTCCCCCTAAATCCCATTCAGTGTAGCTGTTCTGAAAATTCAAGAATATATTTACCGGAGTTTTCTGGCTTTCTATTCATTTTCAGGGAAAAATGGAACTGAAAGTGACAGTTCTCTTTGATTTTTTCCCGAAATTCGGAATTTTCAATGCTGAAATTCCTCGAAATTTAAGTGGTAATTAGAACAGAATCAAATACTTTATTTCCTTGATGCTACCGTTACAGTTTTACATCTAAACAAGCCAAAGAAAAACATCTCCAATAACACTCCAATAAATTCTTTTTATATCAATAATATATAATAACTAATGATAACACCACAGTATTGGCCAGTTTTTGACAAATATCTCGGAATTTGAAAGAGATAGCAAAATCGTTGTCATGACCTTTTTCGTAGAGTCAATTGAGGGTTATAAAAAAGGTCCTGACAAAATTTATACCATCTCCCTCAGATTCCGAGATATTCATCAAAAACTGACCAAAAGTCAAAATAGACTTAACCCAATTTACCGTTTCGCTACTGAATTTAACGATTGTTCAATTTCTAATCTCTTAAAATTTCTTTTCACCAGTCTCTCAACACCCCCTCTATCTTAGCTCTCCCCACACCCAACGGTACATTTAATCGCCTGCTAGTGACAACTAAATTCGATAAAAATGTCCAAAAAGTGTACCCCAAAATTCCGACAAAAATAGTTACCAGCGAGGGGCTGGGAACTTCTGAAATCATGGCGTCACATGCCACTAAAATCAATTTGCAGTCACGTCGGAAATCAATGAAATCGCTGGCATAATGGAAATCACCGAAATCTCATGATTTCAAACTGTGAAGTGTGTAAATAATTCAATTCAGAGTTGAGCACTTTAAACAATAAAAAAAATTGTGAAGTCATCTCGTGACATCATCTGTAGTCAATAAAGTCAAAGAAATCAGTATATGCATGTGACCGACGTCCAAAACTCCCTTTACATCCACAAAGCAAAATCATTATCATCATTTTTTTTGCAAATATCTTGGTATATCATGAAAAAAAATTCAGATACGACATCAAACAGTATCAAAAGACTATTTCACCTCCAACTTTTGATGATAAGGGGAACTTGACAATTGACCAAAGCATTTTGAGAGAAGTAAACCAATACTTTTAGAATTCGCCATCATAGTTTATTAGATATACAAGTAATAATTTGTAATTGTTCGTCAATATTTCGTGACAATAAATTCAATAGTTCTGATGACTAATTCTCTGGTATCAATTATTAGGGGAGGGTGGGGCAAAACGGCCCCCCTTCAATTGTCAATAACTTGTGAATGACATTGTGAAAATTCCCAGTTTCAACTTCATTTTGAAGATAATTTTTCATTCTTCAAAACGAGCTCTAACTCATCCCAATCGGATTATTGAATCGGAAAATATTGTCGATTGAAGGGGGGCCGTTTTGCCCCATCCTCCCCTATTTCGGTTCGGTGAGATTTCAATGATTTCGATGAGCAGAAGGGGCCACCAAGCTTACAAGAGTCAAAATCCCTTATTTAACATTGTTCTAAGTCTATTTGATGTTACAAAGAGGGGACCTTCGTGATCCTGTGGGCCCTTGGGCCCTTTAAGGTCGTAAGGGCCATAAGGGTCTCAGGCTCCACCTCGGTTGCAAGGGTCAAGAGGTTTAAAATCCCTTATTTGACATTGTCATACTTTTTTTCCCACAATTTTTTTTCGTTTCATTTCTCTCAACAAATTTTCCCCCTCAATTCCACCTAAATTACTGACTCCCAGGGCCCGTTGGCGTGAGAACCGAAGATCCAAAGATCCAAAGAAGGAGCAGAAGTCATTGATTTCAGTTGGATGAAGTCAATGAAATCACCGATAATTATGCTTGAAATCGCTGAAATTATAAATTCAATGAAATCATTAACGTAATCGAGTGAAATTGGCTGCATTTAGCAGTCACAGTGTCACTCGATCTTGGAGTTCCCAGTCCCTCGGTTACCAGCGTGTTAAAAAAATCGCGCTTCATATCTTCCACTGGGAAGCATCCGACTGAGGAAACATCTCTATTGACGGATCGCCCATTCAAATCCCGAAGCGCCTCATTGATCTTCCTACATCTCCCCAGCCCCATTACCTCGGCCCTCCCGCAGTGATTCCGAAATTTTCTCAAAAAATAAGGGCACGAGCGATGAACAATAGGGACTCTTATTGAAAAGTCCGAAGCACCCCCGCACCCCGTATTGAAACGCCCGAGGGTGGACAGAACAAAACGCAGTGAAACAGATAGCAGTTGCGCCTGTGTTAAAAAATCAGTGAAAGAGCGGTGGTTGAGGGTGAAAAAAAAAACAAATCCCGCGTCTGTATGAGTCCGTGAATAAAAGAGTAGAAGGGCAAAATGAGCGTGGACGACCAGTGGCCGAGTATCTCACCCAACATGTGAGTTTAAAAATGTACATTGGCCACTACAGTGGCGCTGACTGTCGTTTCTCCTCTCCCGCATGTTTATTACGAAATTATGATAGTGTAGGTGGGCATGTGCGGCCACCGAGCGTCCTCTCTCACTCACACATTGAAACCCACTGAGCCAAGCTGGGGTATACCCCCACGGCCGCACCACGTGACACTGAGTTTAACCAATGGGAGGTGTCTTGTGCCGGCGTCCGGCACATGGCGGAGTGCCGGCTGGTTTAGCCGCAGTCGCAGTACGTCGCAGAGTCAGTCGCAGTGGCACTCGAGCGTGAGGGTAGTCGCACGCGTCCCCTTGTCTGTTTTACTAAAAGTCGAGAGAATAACTGGTCTGTTTTAATAACGCGCAAGTACTAACGATTTCAAACAACACAATAATTTAAATATAACGAAGAACAAAGTTTTAAATAATATAATTTATAAAGGATAAAACAAGGACAGGAGAAACTCCCTCTGATTAAATTTAGTCAGTTGATTTTTGGAGAAGAGAATTCCAAAAAAGGCTTCTTCAGTTTTTCCCTCGTTGAACATAGAGTAGAAGATTTTTTTATTATCTGAGGAATCCACGTTGAGAGAGAGAGAGAGAGAGCAGTAAAGGCGACAATTCCACAGTGAAACATTTATAATTTTATTTAAATAGATGTATAGCGTATACATGAGATTGGTGTAACGACGGAGTGACATTATTTCTTCAAATAAATACCGAACGACAGAATAACGAACTCATACGACCTTCGACGTCTGATATACTCTGAAAGGAGAAAATAAGACAATTGTTTGGTATTTAAAAGTGTGTGAGATATTGATAAATCAACCAAAGGCTAAATTCAAAAATCAAAACAGAAACGGGAGTTGAGGAGAGAGAGAGAAGAAAAAGAATTTCATCGTGTTTATAATTTATTTTTGTACGAAAAGCCATTTCACACATAATTTTTCTACTTTTCGCACACAATACCGACGAAATAATACTCGAAGAACATTAAAACCCTAAATTACAGTGACGAGAGTAAAATAACGACTGAAATTAACGTGTCAAATATCCAAGTGATCAACAATTTATTCGTCAGTCATTCGACAACGCTGGGAGTGACTCATTCAGATAGAAACTAATATTTCATTGGAATTAGAGTAAAGAGATGCCGACCAGTTTATTTAGCGACATGGATCGCAGTGTTTGTACGGCTGGGGCTGGCTCCATCGAGGAGCAGCGTGCCCTTCAGCTTGCTTTTGAGCTTTCAATGTTGAGTATCGAGGGTACACAGGGCTGTGGAGGAGCCGGTGGTGGTGGTGCTGGTAATATCACTAATTCAGATCCAAGTGATCCACTACAGTCAACACCAACCAGTGTCTTCGAGGAGGCGAGATCCAAGAAGAGTCAGAATATGACTGAGTGCGTTCCTGTACCGAGCAGCGAACACGTGGCTGAGATCGTGGGACGACAGGGTGAGTTACATTATTTATGGTTTAAAAATAGGGGCCGAGGGGATAAATGGATACTAGATGTTTTTTAAATGGTGACGCCTCGCGATATTAGAGAATTACTCGTGAAATTGCAAATAAAAAATTATGGAGTTTCTAAGAATGACTGATTTATTTGAAATTAGTGAAATTTAGGCAATTAATGCTCAATTTTCACAATGAATTTGAGAATTTTCGATTTCGTTTATATATCAATGATCGATTAACATGGGACAGTCATTTTTGTTGGAATTCCAAGATGAATTTGAAATTCCATGAACGATTTGATATTGAATTGACGTGATTGGACGCCAGGGTGAGTTATTTATGGTTTAAAAATAGTGGTCGAGGGATAAATGGATACTAGATTTTTTTAAAATGGTGACGCCTCGCGATATTAGAGAATTACTCGTGAAATTGTAAATAAAAAATTATGGAGTTTTTAAGAATGACTGATTTATTTGATTACTGATAATTCAGGGAATTAATGCTCAATTTTCACAATGAATTTGAGAATTTTCGATTTCGTTTATATACCAATGATCGATTAACATGGGATAGTCATTTTTGTTGGAATTCCAGGAGAAATTTGAAATTCCATGAACGATTTGATATTAAATTGACGTGATTGGATGACAAGGTGGGTTTGATTATTCTGATTTAAAAATAGTGGTCGAGGGGATAAATGGGCACTACATTTTTTAAAAATGGTGAAGCCTCGCGATATTACAGAATTACTCGTGAAATTGCAAATAAAAAATTATGGAGTTGTTAATAATGACTGATGTATCTGAATTTTGCAAACATGACAATGAATGTTATTGAAAATTGAGAAAATTCACGATTGATGTTCAATTTTCACAATGAATTTGAGAATTTTCGATCTCGTTTATATATCAATGATCGATTAACATGGGACAGTCATTTTTGTTGGAATTCCAGGATAAATTTGAAATTCTATGAACGATTTGATATTAAATTGGAATTGTTGAGTTCGAGTATTCTGGTTTAAAAATAGGGGTCGAGGGGACTGAATGGACTGAAGCATCGCGGTATTAGAGAATTACTCCAACAAAATTTCAAATAAAACTGATCTATCTGAATTTTTAATAAAAAAATTCCGAGTAAAATCAGTTAATTTTTGAAATATTCAATGAAATTGCGACTTACAATTTGATGATATCATAATGAATATTATTGAAAATTGAGAAAATTCAGGGAATTGGTGTTTAATTTTCAGAATGAGTTTGAGAATTCAAGCTTTTGTTGAAATATCAATGATCGTTCAATATAAAGCACTCATTTTTGTTGAAATTCCCGAATAAATCGTAAATTCCATGAATGATTTGATATTATAAACTGAATCCATTCATTAAATTTAAATTGTTGGAGTATAGCGCGGAGGGGGCAAAATGGTCGCTAGACTTTTCTTCAAATGTTGAAGCCTCGCACTATTACAGAACTACTCATGAAATTTCCAATAAAAAATACTGAAATTTTTAACAATAACTGATCTACCTGAATTTTCCAAATATGTTGTTAATGGAAAATGGAAAAATCCGTTAATTCCTTCAATATTTATTATCAAATTTTCAAAAAATTTTCAAGAGTGCATTCAATTCTTGATAAAATGCTCTTTTTTCCTCGCATAGTACACTTTCTTCTCTGCAATAATCCCAGACTGAGTTCAATTAATCAATTCATCTCTGAGTTATGGGCATTTGAAAAAGTGAAGTTTCCATTTTGTTCCACCTCCCCCTATTCTTGGTTTTCACGTCTCGGTGGGAGGAACGGGAAGGAATCGGTGAGCTTCAGCGCTCGATAAGCCTGAGGGTCTGTTTCCGTTTGAATAGTAGATTTTTATCTGGGGGAAAATGCGGTATCCGAGGACAACACGTGTCTCGTGGACGGGGGAAACACGTCCTTAAGACGCAATACCACTGCACTGTTGGAAGAAATGGAGAAATTTCGGGGGAAAAAATCGTGAAATTTCAGATTTCAGTGAAAATCCCAAGTTTTTAAGCAACAGAACATGAATATTCAGTACCAAATTACGCTGAATATTAAATTAATTGAAAATGCGAAAATATATTCACCTGAATCTCCCTGATTTCCATTGACTATCGTCTCATTATTAAATTTCCCAGAAATTCAAGTTTCATTTGATTTTTCTATGATTTTTTTAGAATTTTTAATGACGAAATTTCCTGAAATTTTAGCAATTTTTTTTTAAATGCTCACAATACATTTCAATCGTGAACTGGAGGGGAAGTAGTATATAAATCAATCCCCGGAACTGGAAATATAAAATAAAGAAAATTATTGATTTCTCTGAAAATTTCCCAACTCATTTGAATTTCCAATCAAAATATGAACATTGAGTACTAAAAAACGCTTAAAATTCTACAGAAATCCGGAAAATTCAGGCAAATGTATTCTTAAAAGCTCAATTATTAATTGAACATATTAATCGACCATTCAAGAATAGATTTACCCGAATAATTGAACCGAAATTTGCAGTTCCCATTGAGTTTTCCGACAGAAACATTAACTAAATGCGATAATGCATAAAAAAAATTCCATAAGTCCCCAAAAAAATTCAATAAATATCCCGGAAATTTCAGCCACAAATTTTTAACAGCGTGGACTCATAGATAAACGTTTGAAAGCAGTAAAACTACCTTTTCAGGGTGCCCAGTGGTTCTCATGGTCTTGGGTGCCCAATCGTTTCTCACGATCTCAATTCAAACGCACGAAATACACTGTTAACTCAAGGCTTTTTTCTGCGAGGCCGTTGTAGACGTAAAATTCGTTAAAATGAGGAGTTGTAAATTCGTCGTGTGGTAAAAAGAGATGGCGTGTGTGTGTATGTGTGTGTGTTTTTGTGTGAACGAGAGAGACCGGCATATGCGTTATTGCCGTAGGTCATGGTACGCACGAAATACAGAGAATAAAAACATGTGCACGAGGGCTGTGAGGTGTCTACAATTTATGTTTCAACATTGAATTTTCAGTTTTTGGAGAAAGTTCGCTGGGGTGGAGAATTTATATTTTTATTGTTTTATGGAGGTCGCCGCCTCCTACGATTTTTTTCTTCTCTTTGGCGGCCTTGCGTGTGAGAAAGGAAAGAGAAGTGTATGATCGTTTAACCTTGAACGGGCAACGATCGAAAATCTCTCAAATTTTGTGAATTTCAGATGAGAAATTGTGAAATACGAGTTATGGCAGAAAATTTGGCCTTTGTTTACAAAAAATTTAATATTGGCCCGTTTGATTGTCAAAGTGGAGTCTCATTAACAAACAATCCTCTAGCATTCATTAAAAAAAAATAATAACAAAGGTGATTGTCATGATGAAATTTTTGTCTTGCTCATTATGACCGGAAATGGATGAAGCTGAAATCAGGGAAATATTCGATTTGGGAATGTTTTTTGAGATGTTTTTCTTTACGCCAAGAAATTTTATACTTGTCGGAAAGATGAGGACAATTTTTTGATATTAAGAAAATGACTTCTCAAATCAATTAAAGTGGTTTTTGCATTAAAATATGTCAGAGTTGAGGCTAAAAAACTATTAAATGAATTCATTCAATTTTACTTGGCTTGAGAAATCGCTTTCTCGTCATTAAGAAATTGTCAGAAGTTTCTGAATATAAGTAAACCTTTGTTTTTGTCAGTGTGAAAAAATGTTGGCTAAAATTTTTGGGAATTGTGCCTTTTGAAATTTTATGGAAAACTCAATGGAAAATGATTTTCAGTTCAATTCAGTAGCGAAGTGGTAAAACGGTTCAAGTCGACTCATCTCCCAGTTGGGTTTTTGCGGAATATTTCCGAATCTAAGGGAGTTAGCGAAATTTTCATAATAACATTTGTTGTAGCTCTCAATGGGCTCTACAAAAAAGTTTATAAGAAAAATTGTGCTATCTCCCTTAGATGCCGAGATATTCATTGAAAATCGGCACTTCGTTACTGAATTATTCAATGAAACCTGAAAATTCACCATTTTCCCCGTCTAAATAACACTTTCCGCTGGTAAACTAACCAATAAATACTAATTCACATGATTGAAAATGATATTGGATATGAAGAAATAACCAGCAATTGGAGAGTAGAAAAATCAATTCAAGCGAGGTCGCCCCGTTGTCGTCAACGAATTCCCATCCAAGTCGACACCGGCCTCATACCCACGAACCACCGAAAACTTTACGTAGGTATAGAGATGTTATAAACATACCAACACACAAAAGCCCGACCTCGAACTCGTTCAAGGACCGTGTACCCATGTGCTCTGAAACTTTCCCAGATGTAATTCCCCCTCGGTGTTTCTCAATAGAAATTCGCAAACCGATTCTTCACACAAAACCTTTACTTGGCCACACGGAGGGGTTGGAGCCAACAACTGCGTATTCTCACAAACTTATATGCATTATGTGACGTTTAACTGTGCGTGGAGAACCAGTTTGACGTATACCTGTCTGCATGAATCATCGGTTTTCATTGGATTGGTTTCATGGTCTCGAATTAGAATGAAATAATGAAGCTGAAACTCGCGGAATGTTGGGGGAAAAATCAATGTCAATGATATGAGCAAAATTTATTATAAATGCGGAGGAGTTTGCAGATACGAAAAAAATTTATAGAAGAACCTAGCGAATTTGTTGGAAAATTCTATTGAATTTTTATTGAACTTCTCAATAGAAAAAATGTTCTATAGAAAAATCAATGGAATTGGACTTTGGTTCTCTTCACCTGAGTTTTTTAATGGAAAGAGAATGAAAATAAAGTGAAAACAAACTTGGAAAATTCATTTTGAGGAATTTTTGTAGAATTCCTCATTTTTTTCATGGAAAAATGAAATTCTATCGATTTTTCCCATTAAATAGTTTTTATCGAATATGTTCTAACGAATTCTTTAGGTTCTGCTCCGAAATTTAAATTGAATTTGATAAATTGACTTGAGTTTTTTAAAATTTCGTCTTCACAATG